GTGGTGCTGGGGGATTGAACCGTGGTCCCTGTGCTTTGCTAAGCTTGTTCTAAGTAGGTGCTTTAGACCACTGAGCCATCTCACCAGCCCTAAATTTTTTTATTTTATTTATTTATGTGTGTGTGTATCCAGTTCAGCACACCAGGGGGCGGGGCAGGCTGGCATGTGGTGCTGGGGGATTGAACCGTGGTCCCTGTGCTTTGCTAAGCTTGTTCTGAGTAGTGCTGTAGACCACTGAGCCATCTCAACAGCCCCATAAAATTCTTATAATAAATTATGTCTTCATTCAACATATGGTGTCACTGTATGAAATGCTACCAATATAGATGTACAGCCAGGCATAATGGTGCACGCCTGTAATCCCAGCACTGAGGAGGTTGAGGCTGGAAGATCTGCTAGTTGGAGGTCAGCCTGGGCTCCATTCAGAGACCTTGTCTCAAAATAAAAGATAAGAAAAAAGACCTAGGGGTGTCACTCAGTGTAAAGGCCCTGGGTTCCATCCCCAGTACTTAGGGGAGGGGAGCAGCATTCCATAAGGTACGTGAATTATGGGAACGGGTATCTTTCTGATGTCCTTGGTAGCCAAACTGTGTAGCAAACACTTCCAATAATGAGTTGGCTACAGGATCCTAGCAGAAGCACAGGGAAATTATATGTATTGTATACTAATCCTGTTTAAAACATAAAACATACAGCACATAAGCTATCCATCCATCTAAGTGGCATAACTCACGTTTTCTTTTGTATCTCTCCATTTTATATCCTTTCTGTAATAACATAATTTTTGAAATCTGAAGAAAGCACTTGTTATTTTTTTAAGTGGATAAGGAACTCAATCAATTCTCTGGTAAATGAAAAGAGGGGCTGGTGCTGTCTGTGGCTGATACCAGTACTGCCAATGAGATCCTGCCCAGAGCGCACTGAGTGGGGGAATCCTCGGGGACCCTCCCACTTCAGGGCAAAGGACAGGGCCGGCCTGCAGCATGCAGATGCATCTTTGATGTTGCTGGCCGTCATCCCTGATGGCCCAACCGTGAACAAAAGGTCATTCTCCCATTCTGGCTACAGCCAGCCTGGGCTACGACCTCTGGATTCCTTGCCTGACCCCACGGCCCTGGTCCCACACAAAGGCCCCATTCACAGTGCAGCCAGCAGCGTCCGTCCGGACTGCTCCACGGTCAGCTGGAGAGCAGGAAAAAAAAAAAGTCTTCTCTTCCAGATCTGTGTTTGGAAGACACTGACTGCTGCAAGAATGGAATTTCGGAAGGCCGAGAACAAAAGACACGATCTTCCTTCCACGATCAACAGTGGTGTTCTCTCAGGGTGCGGGGGTTACAGATAAAGTTTTGCTTAACTTTATTTTTCTTGCCTTTGTTTTCTCCTTTTTATTCCAGGGTACACGTCAGCATGATAAAACATTTTAAAACTCAAAAGCAATTTGGAAAAGTGGAAATGTACCGCTTCCAAACTTGGGCAGCAGCTGGCTGCGCTTGAGGCCAGTGCCGGGAGCCTCACCAGGGTGCAGACTCACTGCAGAGCTGGCAGCTAAAGTCAGCCTGCACTCTGGGCCAGGCCCTGCCCCGCCCTGCCCAGGCTGACTTACAAGGTCAACTTCACCCTGCAGGTCAGGGTGCCCCAGCCTGGCTGGATGCCTGGCATAGTGCCTGATGCACCCAACACCTGAGCTATCCTCGGGAAGTTCTTAAAGTCCAGAACTCTCTGTACAAACATCTCAAAAGTATGGCTCAGTCTGCATACGCATTCATGTCCTGATTATTTGACATAACTGTCCAAGTATTTTTTTTTTTTTTTCAGTGCTGAGGATTAAATTCAGGGTCTTTTGCATTGAGCTACAACCCCTCTTTTTTTTCTTTTTTTTTTTTCAGTTTTTATTTTGAGACAGGATCTTGCTAAGTAAATTGCCAGGGCTGGGCTCCAATTTGCAGTCCTCTTGCCTGAGCCTCTCTGAGTGCGGGGATCATAGGCATGCACCATCCTGTCTGGCTGAAACACCAGTTCTTAAAATCAGTCCACGCAAAAGAGACTCAATGGAAGAAAGCCTTTTGACAAGCAGTGCTGGGAAAACTGGGCATGCATGCACAGAGAATGAAGCCTGGCTTAACCCTTAACACCTTCTATGATAGTTAACTCATACTGGATCACAGATGTAGACATAAAACCATAAACTTTTTTTTTTTTTTTTTTTTTTTGAGATGGAGTCTCACTGCTGTTTGGGCTGGCCTTGTGCTCAAGTTTGTAGCCCCAGGGTAGGTCTCGC